ACTGGTTTTATAGTCGGCAGCGAGGCCGACAAAGAAACACGAAACGAGTCGGCAGTATTGGTAAGCGATTACTAGATCTACGATATACATCGACGGTGCTGTGTCAGAATTCGCGAATCGTATGAAATAACGGCATCGCTTGCGAACGGGCAGAGCTAAACCCCTGCGGCGGTCTGGCTATCTTGAATACCCACGAACATCCAACTGCAAAACAAGTCGCAGTACCAGTACCACAACACTCGCGTCACGTTCTCTCGCCGCTTGGCACCCCCTCCAAGCCACCTCGGACAGCCACAGGACCGGCTGACGAGCGCCATCCACGCGTCATCGCTCAGCAGCCGTCATCACCGCCGCCGTCACCACTGCCGCCGTCGCCGGCCCGCCCGCGGCGCGGCGCTGCGGCGGGCGGCGCGCGCCACGGCCGGCTGCCATCCCGTGCCTGACCCCGTGACCCCGGCGATCGGCGGCGACCCCGGCCGACCCGCCGCCAACAGCTAACGATGGGAAAGCCAGACGGGTTGGCCGCCGCGCCATCGACACAGGTATCGGTCGTTGCCAGCCGTGGGAGCGCGCCCGGCCGTCTCGTGCGCGCTGGTCTCGACACGCACCTCCGAGATGGCGGCTCTGGGAATTGGCACCGACGGCGGCGGAGAACGCTTGGCGGCTGACGCGGTAGTCAGATCGGGCATGCGACAGTAGAAAAGTGGCAGAATATTGACCGATTCGATTAAAAATGGTTTGGGGTGATGCCTGCGATTATAGCATCTCTCGCCCGTGGATGTCGCCTCGCTCGGTCACGGGCTCGGTGCGTGCGGGCCCGTGGAAAGAGGCTGTCCAGTGAGCGACAAGGTCAAATGACGTGGAGAATTCTGACACCTTGGAGAATGGATGATGGGGACGGGCGGGGTGAGCGACCGCGTCAATTTCCACTCAAACGAATAGTTGTAACGCTTTGATCTACAAGATCGCCACTTCGGCGACTTCACCGCCTCAGCTGTTTTCAAAATCCACCACCAGTGAATGCGTTGCGAGCTCCCGTGACGTCCCGCATGCCGATCCAGGACGCGATTATCGCGCAAGCGCTTGCGTTTAAACAGCGGGGCTGAACGCAGCTGCAGGGCAGCGTCAGCCCGCGAGTCAGGTCAGGTCAGTAAGGTCAGTAAGGTCGGGTCAGGTCAGTAAGGTCAGGCCAGTGAGGTCAGGTCAGGTTAGTAAGGTCAGTAAGGTCAGGTCAGGTCGGTAAGGTCGGGCAGACCCGCTCCTCACCGCACCGGCACCACCTCGGCCAGCCTTCTCGCACGGGCAGGACAACTATGCAGCGTAGACGCCGATGGGCCGTGAAAACCACGGTGTCCGCCGGGCGCCGGATCAGTGATAAGCATGCTTTCACGGAGCCACGCGAGCGCACTAACGTCCTTAAGTCTGCACCAGTGTGCAAGAAGGCCAGGCCGAGAAGACGGGCGCCTCAGACTCGGAGCTTAGATACTCCAGTATCAGGGACTTCATCGAGCGGAGGCGGGGGAGGGGTAATCCCTTCACACGCCTCGGGGCTCTGCTCGCAGACACGTCTTTAGAAAGCCCCGCGGCTTCGGCCGACCTCGCCGTTCATGAAATCCGGACAGTCCGCGTGGTGTGCACGACAGATCGCGAACTCCGGCCGGCCGGCCGGCCGGCCAGCCGATGCCGGCGGCAGGCAAGTCCCCGCCCGTCGGGGCTCTGTACTGTGAAAGGTCGGGTAATCCGCCGGCAGCGGCTGCGGCCGGCGGCGCGCGCTCCTCTCTGGCTCGGGCTCGTGCTGTCTGGCCGGCTCGGTTCGGCGGCGGCGCGTGCGAGGGCGCACGTGAGGAGCCGCACGCCCCCGCGGGTGGCGGCGCACGCGAGAGGCATGCGCCCCTCCACTCTTGCGGCGCCAAATGAACGCCCGATTGTGCAGCATGAACTAACGGGGCAACTTCCGGGTGAAATGGGGCCTGTCTCCCACCGCGGTGTTCGTTGCCTCCCCGCGCGGTCTACCTTGCCTCATCCCGCGGTCTACCTCGGCTCTTCCCGCATGTCGGGTTCGTGACGAAGGGGCATCCACGCTTCCTCCAGACGTGCTTGCACTCCCACCAAGGCTACAAGGCTGAACACGACCGTCTCCGTCCACTCACACGATGGTTTGATGGCCAGTACGTCGTGCGCTGTTCGCCGTCTTTTTTCATCACTTCAAAATAAAAAAGTCTCTTGCCGTGTTCGGCCGGGTGTTGCTCTTCCATAGCGCGGTCCTGCACAGGTGAAAGGCACCCGAATTCCCAGCCGTGCAAAGCAAAGTACGCCTGGGGCGACGCCCGGGGCGCTGCCAAAACGGCGGGCCAGCTCGCGTGGGAATCGGGATATTCCCCGGAGCCAGCGCACCATAACTCACGGGAACGGGCTGGCGGCGGGGCGCGGCGCCGCCTGCCCATTTATAACGTGCTATTAGCCGGCGTGCATGGCCGCCGCGGCCGTCCAGCGTGACCTTTGACCCGCCAATCGGCGCGCGCAACTACGGGAAGGTCAGATCTCATCCCGGCCCGGAGCCGATCATGGGAACTACGGCGGACGCCCGGCGCGGACGCCGGCGCGGGAGTAGGGGGACGCCGTCCCGCGCTCCTCCCACGAAACGGCGCCGCGTTTCACGAAACCGTGCCGGCGCCGTGACGGTGGCTCGCGGTCCACACGTGCCGCGTGAGGAAGGGGAGACGCGTGAGAGAGGGGAGACGCGTGAGGAAGAGGGGATGCGTGAGGAAGGAGAGACGCCCGAGGAAGAAGCACACTCAGAACATTGTACCGTCACACCGAGCGTGGCGTTGGGTGCCGAAATTGCCCCGAGCCTTGCGCCGGACCCACCGTCGGGAACGGACCGACCAGACCACATCGGACCTGACCGGACCGGACCGGACCGGACCGGACCGGACCGGACCGGACCGGACCGGACCGCGGCCGGCCCGCCAGCGCCACCGCCCAGGGGTGGAGTGGTGGCGCGTGGGCGGCGCCGGCCGGCCCGGGCCGTATTTGGCCGAGCGGCGTGGGACGGTGCTGTGACACACGCCTGACCCGCCCGACCCGGCTCCGGCTCCACACACGGATACAGACGGGACGGGGGCGACGCCGCCGGCCCGCCCGCCCCGCCCTGTCCCTGACACGAGCCCAGAGACAGGCAAGGTGACAACGCCGTCTCGCCCCCGGCCTGCGCTCGGACGTGGACGGGGTGTGAGGATCACCAGCTGAGCTCCTGCAGCTGAGCTGCGCGGACGGCCGGCTGTCCAGTACACTGTCTCGACGCGGATCATGGGCGGGCCGGCAGACGGGCGGCGCAGACGGCTGCTAGTGGCGCGCCCTCGACGGCGCCAACACAGCCGGAGCTGCCTCCGGTCAGTTTCGGTTGGAGGTCGGCGTGGCCCCGGGCGACGGGCGCCTGCCGCCGCACCCCCTCCCCCCCCCCCCCCCTCCGCTCCCGGCGCTCATCTCTCCCGACCGGCGTGTTTGGAGAGCTCCGCTGATGAGCCGCGTGTGTCACCAGCCCACCAATCACGGCGCGCGCCGGCCGCACGTGCCCGCTGCCAGCCGGCTTCGGGCGCCGTGGGGCGGGACGCCACTCAGCGCCGGGATCCGCCGGCCAGCAGGGTTTGACTGCGCCACCCCGTACATGCAAAAGTCAACCGGTCCATAACACATCAGGCACATAACCACAAAGGCCACTGGGCCGTAGCCTTGTTCGCCCGGCGATTCCGGGCCGCCGGCGGGAAAGCCGCAGCGCGCGAGGCGGGCACGGGAACCCCGCGCCGTCGAGCGTAAGTCCCGCGCTGTCCGCGGCCGTGCGGAGCAGCAGTCCGCAGCGGACACGGCAGCTGCGGAGTACATGTGTCCGCGACAGATGTCCCGCTGTCGGCCGGCTCGGCGGACACGTGTAGCGGCCGTGTCGGGAGGGTGGGCGCCGGCAGCCGTCAGGCGCCGCACCGATAGGACATCGGCGCACCTTTTTGGGTGGAGGCCTCATTGAGTAGGCAGGGCTGCAGAGAGCATGGCGCTGCGCCGAGGCGGCACTTGGCCGCCCTCGGCCGATGACGAGGCGGGACCTGGCGGGACCTGGCGGGACCTGGCGGGACGGACGGGACACGGCGGGACACAATGGGACGGGCAGAAAACGGCGGGACAGGCGGACGTGGTGAAACAGGCGGTATGAACCGGGGCGGGCAGGACATAGGAGAACGCGTGGGATATGATGGGACGCGGGTGGATGGCGTACGGCGAGGCTCAGCGAACAGGCGGGACACAGCGCGGTACAACCTGGTAAAGTGGGACAGGCGGCCCAGTGTTACAGTGTACACAGCGGGGCAGTGGGCAGGCGAGAGAAGACGGTCGGAAAGACCGTCTTCGAAAGAACGGCTGGGGGTGAGACGACCGACGCGGCACACAGACCGGCCAGAACAGCGCTGGGCCACGCCAAGACAGGCCTTTTGACGCCGGGAGCGAGCAACAATCGCCGAGACGGCGTCATATCGGGACATCATAACGACACACACTGCAGCGAGGCTGAACAACAAGCAGCCAGCACCACAGCGGGACGCGGCGGGACACAGCGGGACGCAGCGGGACTCGGTGGGACTCGGCGGGAGCCCAGAGGCCAGCGGGGTCCCAGCCGCCGCGCTGGCCCCCGCAGCCGGTACGGCACTCACCCACACACGTCTGCATATGAATACTGTTGTGATTTGGGCGAGCAACGGGCTGCAAGGCTCAGCGGCGTCGCCGAACAGCTGCCGACGCTGAGCGGCGGCACCGTCCAGAGGGGACGGCCGGCCGTACCCACCCCCATTTAAAGTGGAAAGGCAGAACTTTTCACGACCTCGGTTCAGCTTTCGGGAAATACACATCTTCACACGCGGTATTTGAAACGCCCCCCCCGTCCCCACCCACCCCCCTTTCTCCCGAGATTATTCGAGGAGACTCCACTCTCGGCCGGAGAGACGGCGGCCGCCTACCTCGAGCAGTGTGACGGAGACGATGAAGAGAGGCGGCGGGCAGCACCGGTAGTGGTCGGCGTAGTACTTGCGGTCCCTCTCGTCCGTCAAGTACTCGTCCGCCACCAGCTTCACCATCCTGCCGGCGACCAACACCGTGTGGTGATCGGTGATGTTGACACAGGGAAGGGTGGACGTGGCGACGAAGACGTAGTTGGTAGGTCACCAATGTGATGGTGACCCAGGGCATACGTTGCCAAGTGGTGGTGACAGAGGGCGCAGGTCACCCCGACAATGGTGGCACAGGGTGGTGAAACAGAGCGTACAAGTATTTGAACTCAGCTAATAAATACGCAGGCAAACATGCGTAGCTTCATCTCTGCAGTCGAGTAGATTGTCTAATGTGGACTGATGTCTGATGTGTTATCCGATGTGATGCCTAATGTGTCTGATGTCTACTAAGAACGGCTCTGATTCGTCCGGACCTGCCCGGCGGCACGGAATGCGCAGCTCGACTCGAGTCAGGATGAGGCATGCGCCCGCGGAGTGAGTCACTAGTCCAGCCGCCGCGGGACGGGGCGACTCTGCGCTGTCCCGGACTGCACTCGGACACTCCCACGTTTGACCTGCCCCTCTAGGAGACGCCTGGCGGTCGTTGGTGCGTCGGGACCTTGCACCAGGCGGGCGCCGGGTCCTCACAACATGCGGGGGTCGGATGCTCTGACCTCTCCCACACTGACCTCTGGAATGCTGAGACGGGCTTGGTGATGAGGTGGAAGTCGTTCTCGCTGCGCACCTCTCTGTCGCGGTGGTGCACGGCACACTTGAAACTTCGCGATCTTTTCCCTGTCATCTGCAACAAGACGCGACAGTGAGCGGCGCACTGGCGAGCGCGGCTGGCGACCAGACCAGACCAGACCAGACCAGACTAGACTAGACTAGACTAGACTAGACTAGACTAGACTAGACTAGACTAGACTAGACTAGACTAGACTAGACCAGACCAGACTAGACTAGACTAGACCAGACCAGACCAGACCAGACTAGACTAGACTAGACTAGACTAGACTAGACCAGACCAGACCAGACCAGACCAGACCAAACCGGGCCGGGCTGGACCGGATCGGAGCGGACCGGAGCGGAGCGGACCGGAGCGGACCGGACCGGACCGGACCGGACCGAACCAGACCAGACCAGACCAGACCAGACCAGACCAGACCAGACCAGACCGGACCGGACCAGACTAAGCTATTGAGGACGAATGTGTGAGGTCACGTTTCGCGGCACTCCGCCTCATGTCAACACTCCTGTCAAAACCAAATCCATAACGTGACCAATCGCACACCAGATGGCGGCAAATTAAGCGCAGCCGTTTGCGTGTCAACGCCTGATAGCAATCCACCACAATGCGAGCACACCTGTCCCTGCAGCGTGAGCAGCGCTCGTGCGAAAGGTCTGCTCCAGACAGGTGCCCCGGCCGCGCCGGGCCTCGTCCAGCACACTTCACCCGGCAAAAAGCGCCGGCGCCGGCCGCGTTTTCAGTATTCCCGCCGGCCCGGGCCGGGGCAGAGGGCAGGCACGCTTTTTCACGGCGCGCGCCGCCCGCCCGCGTGCCGGCGCCGCATAATTCAGCAGCTGGAGCTGGGACCATTACCGGATCCGCGGCGAGGCGAGCGACACTGCCAGGCGGCGCCGGCGCCGGCGGCCTCGGTCAGGTCAACCGCACAGAGGCAGCGGCGTGGAAAAGCTCGGAAGATTGGGTAAAAGCTCGGTTTCGTGAAAGGTTGACCGCGGCAGAGCTTGCGGGGGTTGGTGATGCAGGGTAAGGTCTGATTTCGGACCCCGGTGAAGCCCGCCCGCTTTTCAGGGCGCTCTGGTCATGACAGACGCGGGGACTCTGGTCACGTGACCACTGGTCTCCACCAGACGAACGATTCGCGGAAACTGAGTCTGGCTGATGGCATGTGACAACGGCGCTCAACAGTGGACTGCGGGCCTCCTCTGAACACTGAAAACAAGCATAGTTGAACACGTTGCCTCACAGACAACACTTTTCAGGAATAATTACCTGCGAAATAATTAGATCACGGCGCTAATTATTATTTCGCGGCCTGGGAATCCACTCGAGAAGCTCAACAAGTCACCTGTTCATCCGCTGCTCAGCCTCGCCCGCGCCGTCGGCGCCTCGCACCAGCGAGCGGCGCCCCAGGCGGCGCCGGGTCACCAGGTCACCGTTTGATCTCGCCGCGGGCGGTGGCACGCGCGCACACCAAGCCGGCCGGCCGCAGCACTGGCTCTGGCCGGCCGGCGCCGCGCCGCCCACGTGGCCGCCCGGGCGCTGCCAACTCGTCGGCGCCGACGAGCTAGAGCATCGACACCGACGGCCCGGCGCGGCCCAACATGGCGTGCTGCTCCGCCCGCTCGCCGCCACCATCGCCTCCCCCCCCCCCCCCTCCGGCGCTGCATTGATAATCTCGAATCTCGGATAATCTCGGTGCTTTTTTCTCGCCTGCAACTGACGGTTTCTGTAATGCCAGTCTTCGGTTCGACGCACTTTTCTGGGTAGGACATCGCTATAGTGCGCGGGCAGGCTTTGTCAGAGTTCTGCCTTCCTTCCAACGTGGAGCGATTTTGTTACGATACGCGAAAGATCAAAGCGGAGCCTACAGGCTATAGGCTTAATCGTTGCAGTACATAAAACAAAATATATAACAGGCGCATTAGGGGCGCGGGAACCTGGGAGGAAAGCGGAAGGGAGGGGGGGGGGGGGCTAAGCTTCGCGACTTTCTGAAGATCTAACATTGGTCTGTGGACACTGGATGAAAGAAAAACAAAAGCCACTATCGCCTCCCCCAACTTGGGAGGACTTCCGCCTCCATCAGGATTCGAGTGAGCTTGGACCAGGTGCGAGTGTGCACACACATGGGGCTCACTGAATTTCGAAAGCAATCCGTCACAACTAAAAAACGACTAAACCTGCCTCATAACGAGGCGGACGGCGTTTTAAAATCAATCGTTTTCCTTTCGTTCTAGTTGTCGGTTGGTCAGCCCACGCCGACCACCGCCGTCCGTGACCACGCCCGCTTCAGCGACCATGGCGGGGGTGGCGCTGGACGAGCCACCCCCGCGCACGCCACTGGCCGATCCGAGGGGGGTCAGACAATGGGGGGCGGCGGCCGTTTCCGAGCGGGACGCCAGCTTCCGCCGGAAGCCGCGTCAGCTGGCGCGGCGCGGCGGCGGCAAATACGGCGCCGCGGCGCGGCCGACCGGCGATAATACCTGCTGTTTGCACTGGCACTTCCCCTTCTGGCGGCGCGGCCGGCGCCCGACCGGCCGCCTGTTCGGAAGGGAAGCCGGCACAGAGGCTATCGATCAGACCCCCTCCCCCTGCGTAGGGCGCCGACGGCCGAGCGGCCGCCACCGGCCAGTGGAGCTGCGCGCTGCCTGTCTGTCGCACGCGACACTGATCCCGCAAGGCTGCGGACCTCGCCACGTCAGGTGACAGGCTTCCCAAAGTTTACGGGGTCTGACACCATGTCCACGGACGTTGCGTGGAAGCGAACGCCTTGAAATGTCGGACGCCCCAGAGCTCTGCCCCGTGGCGATGCCCCGCGTGGGGAACATGGCCATACGATGCTGCCCATATCGCCCCTGGTCCGTACACGTCCACCGTATGGTCAGCTGGCCCGGAACGCCGTCCGGTGAGCTGGCCCGGATCGCCGTCCGGTGAGCTGGCCCGGAACGCCGTCCGGTGAGCTGGCCCCACACCGCCGTCCGGTGAGCTGGCCCGGGCCGTCGCCCACCCACGTCACCGATCAGCCACCGCACGATCTCACAAATTCCTCGCTGTGAGCTCGCCCCGGGCCATCGCCCGCCTCACATGCCGTGCAGTCGCCTGTTCCGCGAACGCTTGACCAAGGGGTACGCGCCCAGCCCTAATCACAGGCGGCGGCGACTGCTGGCGCGGGGCGGCGGCCGGGTTCCGCGCCGGGCGGCCGTTAGCCCGATCCGGGAACCCAGCGCTGCCCCGACGGCGCCGGCATCTCGGCGCGTCGGGCGCCGAGGGAGGTGCCCCGCCCCTTCCCAGAGCGGCGCCGGCCGTCGGCTCCGGCCGGCTCCGGCCGGGCTCCGGCCCGGGAGCAGGCGAGCCGGCTGCGTGCGCCGGCCGGCCGCGCCCCGGCCGGCCCCGGGCGCTGTTCCGCGGCCAGGCCACAAATCAGAGCCGACAGCTGCCCCGGGCCGGGACGCTGCCGCCGGCGGAGAATGCTGCACGCGGCATGCAGGCGGCGGCAGTAAGGCACCGCAGCGGCGCCCCGGGCGCAAGGCTGGGACGTCGTCAGCGGGGCGAGGGAACGCCTCTAGAGCAGACCGTATGACGTCAACGGAGGAACAGTGGAATGCATTAACAGTCACGACAGCTCTGTTAACGATTATGTAAGAAAGATGGCCTCTACAAAAATGTTGGGCGGGGGACGAATTCCTCCCCTAGGAAACATCTTATGCCTTTCGGAAAGCCATTGCAGTTTCTTCCATAAACGCAATAGCCAATTCCTCAACGTGACCTGGTTTCGATCAGAAAATATAGTTATGTCTTGAAAGAATCCTTGTGAAGGCTTCGACTGCGAACCTCTGTTCGAACTCTCTTCCATGAAAACGTGTTTGCCTTCTTTTATAAAGCTTTGTGCTGTGTTAAAAACTCATCGGTAGAGAAACGCGTCATTTCACCCGACCCGGCCTGCTGCGGATGGCTCCGTTACATTTTATCTGTGGCTGGTGCAGTCAGTTGGCGGTTTGCTTCAGCGCCGCCCACGGCGCGCGTCCGCCGCGGCACCTGTCATCCGTCTGTCATCCGTCTGTCACTCGTCTGTCACCCGTCTGTCACCTGTCAGGACCTCGGGTCGGTCTCGGCTGACTGCCAGCCGCGAGCTGACTGGGGGTCAAGGTCGAGGCAACCCCTCGGACCATCAAGCCGGGATTTGACCGTGTCCTCACTGCCAGGCAGCGTTCGCGGTCCCCGCGTGAGCACAGCACTGGCGCGCGCCTCTGCAGAAAGGGCGCGGCGCGCTGCCGGTCCGCGACGTGAAGCCGACAGTGCGCCGGTCAACCTTCCACAGGCTGACCGGGATTGGATAAAGGTGTTACGTAACCGACAGAACGTGCGTCAACATGTCACCGGAGGGCCCCGTGGCTGCGCACCGCCCGACCCACAGGTCACGCCCAGCACAGGTCACAGGTCACGCTCGGCGTAGGGCACAGGTCACGCCCGGCGTAGGGCACAGGTCACGCCCAGCGCAGGCCACAGGTCACGCCCAGCGCAGGTCGCAGGTCGCGCCCGGCGCAGGTCACAGGTCACGCCCAGCGCAGGTAATAGGTCGCGCCCAGCGCAGGTCACGACCTGGTTGCAGGGCGACAGCCCGTGGCGCCGAGCCGCGCGACGATGATTTGCGCTTTTGGACGCCGCAACCTCTTTGTCGCGGAGCATGCAGTCGGCAGCCCAGTCGACCGGTGGCGAGCTGGGAGCGCGGAGGGCGTTCCCCGGGCCGGCCGAGGCGCGCGCCGCACGCTCCGCACCCCGCCGCTGCCGGATCGATGGCCCCGCGTCACGGCGCCCGTCACAGCCGACGTCACGTGACGGCGCCCGCCCGCCGCCGGCCGTGGTTCTGACGTCACACGGCGCGGGTCACGGGGCGAGGCGACGAGCGCGGGGAGGCTGGGGTCTAGGCCCCCACGCGACAGCGCGGCCTCGTGGCTGGGGCATCGGCCGGTGTCCCTCCGAGGTTCGTGACGTGGCGGATGTGCTCCCCGACTGCCGTCGCAAAGCACGGCCACGGGGCACGCCGCACCGTCGGCGGG